ATATAGAACCTTGGGCATCGTGGCACTGACATGATATCTTGAACAGACCAAAATTCGAAAGTTAATTTTAAGTAGGATTTTAAGGTCTATTTACAAACCCTTTCAGAGCACTTGAAAGGAACAATTAAGATAGGTTTTCTCTAAAGAAAAAGAGCCATCAAGCAAGTAAGAAAGTGAGGAAAAACTCTTGAAGATTGAATTTCAAAGACCTAATAAATCTTAGTTTTCTTTTCTTCTTTTGTTCTTCTTATACTTTCCTTGTTTTGTGTTGATGGTTAAACTTTTTTGGATAATGTTTTTAGTAGTTATGAGAAACTAAATTTCTTCTCTAGAATTACGATTGAACCCAACATGTAGTTGGAATTTTTAATACTCTTTTTGCTTATAGTTGATAGCGTTTAAGTTGTTTATTTCAATCTTGTGCTTAATGTGTCTGATTGACTAGCCTCCAATTAGATTGATAGGGTAACCTAAATGAAACTTGAAAGAGTAATTTTAGTGTAAACCTTGGATGAAATAGTATATGTTTAATTTTAATTGCATGAGATGATTGATTTGATTCACGTGTGGGACAAGAATATACTTACATGTTGTATGTAGCCATAATTAAAGTCTAATTTTAATGAGACTTTCTTAATTGTAATTTGCATAGAAATATCATAAGATTGGTTAAGAAAGATATTTTTATAAAAACGTCAGAAGAGACTTTTAAATACCTTAAAACTCTAGGTTAACAACTCAGCTTTCTAATAAGTAAAGAGAGAGTAAAAGAGATTTAATTTAAATAAAGTGTTGAGGAGATATTGTGGTTTTAGACTTTGTTTGATTGATTTTTATGATTTAAATTGTTATTCTTGTTATTAATTTTAGTTCAATAATTTTATATTTGATTGTTTGGATAAAATTAAGTTGTGTTAATTTTAGTACTTACTAACAGTTCCTCGCGCAAATAATACTTTATTTTTTATTATATTACTTGTTAACAATGTGTATACTTACATGGTAAATTCGACAACATTCTCCGAAAAATGTCTTACGCTTCTCAAGGGCATAAGACATTTTATGTAGTCAAAAGATATTTTTCTTATTGACTTGTAAAATATTTTACATTTGAAATAAATGTTTTATTTCTCAAACAAATATAAGTCCTAAAACATTTTTTGAAAAATATTTTATGTTAAAACAAACAGACCCTAAAATCATATTTTTTGTTTTAATGTTCATGAAAGTCAAACTAAGGATGATCGCTCAACTCTATTACTTATTTTTTTCACGGGTGAAAACTTAATACTATACTTTTAATTTGGTTAGAAAATAATCAAAAATCAACAATAAAACAATACCTAGAATACTTTTTTTTTACTTTCCTAATAAAATTATTTTGTACAGTTAACTTTTAACTATTTTAATCAAACTAATAAAATATAATGTTAAAAATTAATAACACCTTTCAAATGTAAATAATCAATTTGATTTATCATCCAAAATAAACTAAATTACATTTGCAAAAGAAGCTGCTAATCGGACTAATAAATAAGTGTACAAGGCTTAGTGTTTTGAAATGAAAGAAGCCGGCCCCAATACAAAAGTAGAGTAATCCAGTGCATTAGCTTTAGATTAAAATGAATGAATGAACTGATCGAAGACACGGATTAACCTTTCGCTTTCCTCGTCTCTCGTCTGTCTCAAGTGTAAGGAGTTGTTGTTCAGGTTAAGAAATGTCACCGCCAGCAAAGACTGAAGCTCCTCTCCTTGCACTCCTGCTTCTAACACTAACCTCGACAGCCACTTCCCATTACACCTCTTCGTCCCCACCCGCTCCTCAGTCCTCCCAGTGGCATCCGGCACGCGCCACTTACTACGCAGCATCGGATCCTCGGGACGCAGTGGGTGGCGCGTGCGGGTATGGGGACCTGGTGAAGGCTGGTTACGGCATGGCCACGGTGGGTTTGAGCGAGTCCCTGTTTGAGCGTGGGCAGATCTGCGGCGCGTGCTTCGAGCTGAGGTGCGTGGATGATCTCCGCTGGTGCATACCCGGGACCTCTATCATTGTGACAGCCACCAATTTCTGTGCTCCCAATTATGGGTTTACAGCGGAGGGTGGAGGGCGTTGTAATCCTCCCAACAAGCACTTTGTGCTTCCCATTGAGGCTTTTGAGAAGATCGCCATTTGGAAGGCTGGCAACATGCCCGTTCAGTATCGAAGGTACAAGCAGTTTAAGTTGCTTTGCTTACCATTGTACTACTTGATATTAACTTATCATTGGCACCTAAGAATCGCTCGTAATTTGTTATATGTAGCTGCAGATATTTCCTCGATTTTATACATATAAAGGAAAAATTGATGGACAAAAGCTAGGAATTGACTATCAATAAGTTAATGCTTATTTGTATTAGATAATGCTACCTTCATCAAGTCAAGGTTAGGAAAATCTAGACTAGATCGGTTTTATTTGCATCAAATCAGGAGCCAAAGCTGGAATTTTGGCGAATGTTTATAGTGACCCAAGGTTCATGAACCCAAACACCTGGGAATTAAGTTGGACTTATTGAGATAAGCTAAAAGCTATGATCTTACGGACATAACTCCTAACAAGTATTTTCTCTTGCTTGGCTTAAACAGGATCAAGTGCAGAAAAGAAGGGGGTGTTCGATTTACAGTTGATGGTTCAGGTATCTTCGTTTCAGTGCTCATCAGCAATGTTGCTGGTGCTGGAGATATAGTTGCAGTTAAGATTAGGGCTTCAAAAACTGGGTGGCTGCAAATGGGTCGGAATTGGGGACAAAATTGGCATATTAATTCTGATCTAAAGAATCAGCCTCTTTCGTTCGAGGTCACCACTAGTGATGGGCTTACGCTTACATCTTACAATGTTGCTCCCAAGGATTGGAGCTTTGGGCAGACTTTTGAAGGAAAGCAATTCCAATCATAAGAGATGTTTTTATATGTACACAAGACTATTCTTTTTTCTTCTCTTTCTTTCTTCCATCCTGTAGTCTTTTGTTTCCTGCTGTTTGATTGGGTTGGAAAGTGTAAAAGTGGTGGCTTTTTGATTTAGGCGAAAGTGGTAAGCTGATATTCAAGTGATGACATTGTTATGTGAATAGCTCCATTGTCAAATTAGGAGAGATATCAGGTTTGTCTCTTACACAATAATACCTAAAATTGTGAATTTAAAACAGATCCCTCCAATGGCATGGCCTAAGTGGTTTTCATTTGGGCCATCTCAAGGTAATAAGGGAAATGAATGTGATTATTGATCGGGGGACACATGTAATAAGACTTTTGGAGGGGTGAACAACTGCAACCACATGGTTCTGGGCTTATGGTAGTATTCTTCTGCAATTGGTCGATGGTACATGAACTAGCATGTACGTTACAGAGAAGGAAGGTGGAAGCAAAATATTGGCAGTATGAAAATAAGAGGGAGAATGGAAATGGATAGATTTGCACGGTTTTCTTTCAAATTGGAAAGAAGATATCCTTTTCCTACTTAATCATTGTGAATCTTATCCCTAATTCCTTTCTTCCCCCCATTTTCTATTTTTCACACCCAACACAAAAAAGGAAAAACGTTCTTCCTTCTGTTTCATTTGTTCTTTCCTGCTTTTTGGCGGTTTTAAATATTATTCAATCCCCTTAACATGAAATGATTTCCTTCACAAAGTTGTTGGTACAATCAAAAGGTTTGAATTGGTATGTTGAGATAAGTGAATCTCCTACACAGTCATAGGCTCTCTGTTTAGTCTGGGGCACCACTCTGCTTGTTAAGCTCACATCCAAGTTACTCAATCCTGAAAGGGCCTAAACAAAAATGGTTCATAAATTGGCAACGCACGTAGGTGTACCTTATACAGGAGACCAAGTTCGTAAATTTCTGTACTCTATTCTACTGTAAAGCAAGATTTGCCCCAATGAAATCCAGATCATTTAACAAGAAACTGATATCCAGAAAAGGAAACAATAGGCACATCTATATCTACAAATACTGATGAAGAAAAAGATAAATATTATGCAAATATGGAGTTATTCTCTTTGTCAAATGTTGGGCAGTTTGTCAACTTGATGCAACCCTCACATGCTACTAGTATCATATGTCTTATACAAAACTACCTGCCGTTGGAGATTGCGATGCACATGGGCGGATCAAAACGATTAATTTCTGGAGAAAAACTCTGTGGGTGTGTATGTAGGAGTGTCTAGGATTATTTAGGCATGACAACTGCTGTAAAGTGTGACCTTAGTCTTGCAGATCTCCTTCAAAAGACTCTTTTAAGTAATAAACTCACTATATGAGCACTCAAATTCAATTGTATTGGACCAACTTCCTTCAACTTAAAGTGTGATCTCAACCCTTGTTTATAAAGGCATATTATACATCACAAAAACAAGCACATCTAATTAATACCATATCATACCATTCTGACTCTCAATTCTAAAATCTCGATCCTAACAAGTAGAGAATTTGCAATTCCTAGAAATTTTTCAAGCATACAATCCGTCACTGATTGCAGTTCTTGTTCTTCTGTTTTTTTGGTAATTCAATAAATGGGAATTACTATTTTCTAAGACATGCAAGCATTCATTACACAAATCTCTAATCACCATCCATCAATCCATTATGGTCTGGATGGCTGGTGATTTCGAAGCTGTGGAGTAACTTTTGGGTTTATTTACAACACCATCCTTATCCATATATATATATATATAATAAACTTTATTATCCCAATTCTCTATATCCACATCATCTACAATACAAGTCTGCAGAAACTAAAACAGAAGGATATGCAAACAGTATTGAGAAAAATACGGCAGAGAGGACCACCTACATCTATGGACATTACTTTTAAACATCTCATACAAACTACAAAATCCAATTAAGAAAAGCTAAGTTGTTAATCATACTGAAAACAATCAGCAAGAGTCACTGGTGCTGCTATATATTGCAAAAATAAAAAATAAACAAAAGGTGTATACAATATAGTAAGAACTATAAAAATTTGGTCACAACAAAATTGGATGTGAATCGTACAATGTAATCAGACTATAGTATACAAGCAAGTGAATTTATTTTCATACATATAAAAAATAAAACAGCTAAAAAAAGAATTTCGACGTACACAAAAAATTTTACTTGTGTGTTAACAAAAAGCCAAGGGGAAAACCTGGGAAGAATCAAAGATTCTAGAAGGGCAAGAAGATACTAGCCTCTCTCTCAAGGGTCAAATGCTCCTGAAGCTTGTTGTAAACCATTGGTATATTTCTGGAAAAGCTGCACATAACCGATTTAAGAGGAGAAAAACTGTTGGCGGCTTCAAAGCTTCTGATGGGATTCAATTAGCAATGCATTTAGCATGATCTGAACGGCAGCCTCATAAATAGCTCCATCATAATGCATACCATCAGATGTACAACGCGGCCCACAATTCCAAGTCAATGACTGGATGTCCAACAATAACAGAGGGCCACCTGTTTGGCGTAATAGCTTACTATCGCCAAGTGCTCTATCATAGGCATGCCACAGTGCATCACTCATCTTCTCCCTCTTCTCCTCTGTATTCAACATCCCATTGATGAGCATTGGCATCCCGAGCCAAAAAGAATGCGGAGACTTAATGGACACGGAGCCTGTTACGGGTCCATTCATGCTTAACTGGGGCGAAAATGGCAACAAAGAAACTACAGAACTTTTTAACATTCGCAAGGCAAAATCATAATCCGATGCGTTAGTGACATGAAGCATGTGCCACAGACCGGCCCCCATGACCATAACATCAGGGTAACTCTTTTTCACCTTAAAACCCATCATCAAATTGGTCAAATTCACAACATAAGGTGCCCAAAAAAAATCCAATTTCATACCAATTTCATCAAGCAAAATGTTGTAATCACTATGCCTTTTGAATAAATCAGCTCTAACCGAATGCATACGGTCAGCTTCCGAACCCAAAATCAAATTTAATAAAGAAAGGGTAAACAATCGAGCCTGGGAATCACCTGCTACGACCACCCAGGAGCCGTTTAGCAAATCGGAAGTGTCGGATCCAGGCAGCTTCTGAAAGTCACAAGCGTCGAGCTTTGAGGATTTGGACCAATCCCAGCGCTTGTTATACAATTCAAGGCTACCGTTGTGGACAGAAGAGTTGGGCTTCACATCCCAAGCAATCTCGTTAACCAAATTAATGCAAGAAATACGGTGATCGAAGACGACAACAGAAGAAACGGAAGTAACCAAATCAGAAACGGAAGGGAAATAGGGAGTCAAATGGACGCAGACAGCAAGAGTTATGAAAAGGGCACCGCTGAAAAAGAGCATCTTGTTCCGGCTCAAATGCCATCCTGCCATTCCCATTGGGACCAACACCACCACGCACGCTACCGCTGCTCCCAGTTGAACTGCCCCTAACATCATCATCATCGTCATCCTTTCATCTTTGGACTTTTCCTTTCCTCAATCATAGATCTGAGCATTTCTCATAACATAACAGAAAAAAAAAAAACACCTCTTTCAGGGTTTGGTTTGGTGAATGCCTCTTTGATGTTATATTTTTGTTTTTCCTTTGCAACAAAGCCAAACCTGAAAGGAACGGGACAACCGTAGCTTGGTTTGGTTTTTTTATTCTTCTGTTTAGACGGTTGGGTCCAATTTGAATTCAGTTCTTATATTATAATTTAGTTTTAGTTAATTACATTTCTATACTCTCAAAAAGTTATGAATTTAAGGATAATTATTAGCACAGTTAATTTTTGTGGTGAACTTTGATACGTAAGCCTATAACATTAAATTAAGTGGTCAAGCGGCTACATCTATGATTAGCAAGTTAAAATGTTTTAGTCACATGGCTCTTTACACAAAAAATTTAATACATTTAATAACAATAAAAATTTATAATCGTGTACTTTCTTTTTTTCTTTTCTCTTCTAACCTAAGGATAGTGATGAATTCTTTATAATCGTGTACCTTATATTATCCAAGTTGATTAAGGAAAATTAAATATTAGATAACCAAGTTTGAATGTGTTGGTGTAAGCCCTACAACCCAATCAGTTTTGAGTTTATAAAACATTACATTAATTAGTCATATTTCATGTTAAATACATTATAGATATTTTACATAATATATGAGGTATATTTTTATTCATGAGTTTATTTATAAAGAGTTATGAAAGATTTATATAAATAAAGTTCTTAGAGCATAATGGTCTTGTAAAGAAATTGTAAAAGTTATAATTAGGATATTTTATGCATCACAGCCTTATTCCTAAATTATAAGGGTTATTGTATTATCAAGAATAAGAGCATTGACAATGCTTCAAGACTGATACATGTTAAGCTTTCTTACTTTACAAGTAAGTAACCAATCCCATATATTAAAGTATACGAGATACTTGAGGATAGTATATGGGTGAATATTAAGAAATAAGTTCACTGAACATAAACCGCTATGAGAGTTTCATTTGGTATTTCATTCAAGTGTTTATAAAAATTTTCTCATGTGCTAATAGTGTAAATAATCCTTAGATTTGTGATAGCAGCTCATCTTATATGTAAATTATCATGCTTTGACATCTACATGGGTTTGACGGTGACCAGATGCCTAAATAGGGCACTTTTGGATATGACATAAAGCATGTGAAGATGAATGAGTAGTCTAAAGAGAATTCATCACTCCTAGTGATTTGAAAGGAACATATCTCGCTTGATACTAACTTATATTGACGAAGTCCTTGGTTGAGACGATCTTGATAGGTCAATTTGAAGCTTTAGAACTAATATGGAATGTCATAAGTAGACATCATGCCTTGCTTCATGACATATCCAAGATATTTGATGAAAAGATCGAAATGCATTATGATATTGTACACTGAAAGGCTAATCAAACCATATTAACTTTGTTGACATTTGAGTGGTCATGATATATTACTAAATACCGCTCATAATCTATAAACATAAGTAATTGGATTAATTTAAATATATTGTTGGCATGTTGATGGTCTAATGGGTTACACACAATAAGGTGACAACGTGAAATTAAAATGGGATTTGTACTCAATCGAAAATTTAGAATTTTCAATATGGACTTAATTAAATGGTTTAATTAAGTATAGGGGTTAAATTGTTATTAATCAAAAGTTGAATCAGCAATTTAACCTAACTATAAATACTTAAAGGTAGATGTTGCACCATAAGAGAAAAATTAGAGGTGAGAAAGACTTGATAGCAAATCGAAAAGCTTTCTAAGCCTAAGAAATGTTTTTTTTAAGGTGGGTTCCAAGAATTGTTTTTCTTTGTCATCTTTTCTACCAAAATCGATTCTTTGAAAGGTGAGATCTATGAAATCTTAGCCACTAGCATTGCTTCATGGCATACACATAATCCCTACCTTGAAGAAGGCTTTCACCTGTCACTTGTGTGGATCACCATTAGAGGTTGGACACATAGATAGCTTTGGTTTGCAAGAACCGGGCTTTAGTGTGCAATCAAGAAAATGGGTCATGACTTGTGATTTATTGAAATCACTACTAAAGGTATTATTCTGATCATTTACTTGTATGTATGAATGTTAATCCAATCAAATGCCAAAACAAGTGATCCCATAGAGGTTTCGATTTTCTATGTTTATTTTCGTTGCCCTATGCAATTTTAATTGTTAATTTTTTATTTTTTTCTTTTCTTTAAGCATGGCCAAACTCTAGCATTGGTATTAGAGCCACCTTGTATTTGTTTCTAATTGGATGATGCCTTAGTTGTTGCTAATGTGAAGAAATCGGTTTTGCCCCAAAACCTTAATTTAAGTCGCCATGTATGCTATAATTGTCAAAATTGTTTTGATTAATATTAACATTCAATTCCAGCAAGTTAATCATGATTTGAAACTTGATTTTAAGTATTTAGATACTGATTTGAATCAAAGTTTTAAATGTCGAAAGAATTGGGTTTGAAAATCGGAATTGTTTCATGCGAGTTTGAACTCGATATGGTGATATATCATGACTAGAAATATTTGATTTTTCAAGGGTTCATGGAGTTTGTTTAGAAAAACTTCCAGACTTGAAAATTATGCTTAATTGGTTAGTATATGTTCTAGAAAAATCAGATTATGGCTGTTTATGAAAAGGTTTCATGAACAACCTTAATTTCTTAGTACATGCATTATCCAAGCATTAATCAACAAAGGGATTTTTCAGCCAATATTTAGGCAACCATGAGAGATAGTTAGCCACCATTTTTGGGGTTTGAAAAGAGTTCTTATGCTATCTCAATTGGTCTTAGTTTGGGAAACCTTGCTTGATTAGGAGAAGGAAAGAAAAAATCCTTAAATTAAGGAATTGCAATTGTACAAGCAATGTGATTCATTTAATGCTGATATCTTCCATAATTTAAGGGATTGAATTTTTTCGTCTTTAATTGGATTAAATGTGGATATTTATCACCATTAAATTCAGCCAATCAAATTTCTAAAATGGTTTTGGAAATTAGATATATTAGTTACATAAAACGGTTAGGAAACTAATATAAGATAACTATTTAAAAGTTAAGGTTACCCTATAACGACCTTTTTCTCGATCGTTACTAGCGTCCAAGACTTGCGAGTAAACCTGTCAAATCCGTAACAAGCCTTAGTTGAGATTCCTGTTAGTTAGTTCGGACATCTTAATGCGTATACGAGTCAACTTGAACTTTTATTATAACGTTCTACTTGTGACATTCATTAAAAATTTTGTCGACTAGTAAGATTACCATAATTTACTTAAACTGAATAAATAGCTATAATTAATACGTAGCTACTAGATGATAATATCCAAATCTAGTAAACTTCAAGACCAATTAAACACACTTAACATTCATTACACAACCTTAAGGTTTTAGCCGTACATTTTGACAACTAATAATTTTTTTTTAAGTTTAACTGTTTACACCACATGACCCCTATGCAACGGAGCAACTCAGGGTGGAAGTCTAAAAGATGCCATTACGTGCATCGCAACAAATCAAAATATGCCGAGGCAATACACTTAAGCTGATCATTTATCTGCAAAAGGAAGATAAAGGGGGTGAGTCTCACAGACTCAGTGATCATCAGCTCCATGAGCAAGGCATAGATGAGAAACAAGCTAGGGACAGAAGATTTGAATATTAAAAATATAAGAATATATGTAAACAATTTAACTCAAAAGGGAGATTTATGCCTTACATGTAAAACCAAGAATTTTAATGCAAGGTAATTATTTTAGACAATATATCAAAGCCAATGCAAGTAAAGATTTTTACCGTCAAAATCATATAACAACTTTACTCAAATCAAATCAGTATAAACACGCATGCTTCCATAAAATTAAACGTTCCTAAAACTTACACACAAGTTCACAAATCATTTTGTCCTCGAGGAATTTAAATACAAATCATTGTATAAACAACGGAGCTATAGAATAGCTTGTAATTCTCACCATGTGAAAGAATTTGTATTTGAAAACCGAAAGAGATACCACTTTCGAGTAGGTAAATGCAACAATCAACTCATGGAGTCGCTTCCACGTAATGAGAATCTGGGAGGTCCCCTTCCATCGGATTCCCATAGCTATGGCAACCTTGACGAAGTTGGCTGACATCGGGGAAATCAGGTAGTTGCAACCACGTATAACAACTTGTGGCTTAGCAACGTATATACATCATAGACCATGGCCCCATGTAACACCCCGTACCCTCGTTTAGAAGTCAATAAGACCCTATCGATGAGATGACAGGTCATTTGACATAAATTTAAGTGCCAAAAAGCGGTGACAGGTGAAAAAAATATTTTAAAATAAAATAATATTTTATGAATAAAATAATATAAAAATATTAACATTTTATTTAGAATTGAAATTAGTCAAAAAGGAGGGTTGTATGACTAATCTAAGTAGGGGAGAAGAAGTAAGGAAGAATTTTGAAGAAAAACCATGTTAATAGGGCCTATTTGTCTTTATCAAATAAAGCTAGTGCGGGTAAGTATATATTTAAATATTAAGGTGATACTGTGGTGAAGTGCAAACTTTATATTTTGTTTGTACACATGTAAAGACAGGAAAATAAAAGGAAAATGAAGTTAAGAAATGGTGGAAGGAACAAATAGTAAATGATGGAAGTTTGGAGAGTCATCCGGTAAATAAAGAAAAGCCTGAAGACTTATGTGTAAATTTTAATATTTGGAGTTAAATGGGAATTTACTAATCAAGGAAAGTTAGATTATGTGGAATATGAAATATAAATGTGAAATTTATCATTACATGCAAACTATGATGTGCAAAAAGGAAAAGTTGGTAGGGGCATATGGGACCACCACCATGTGAAGTAAACGAAAGAATAAGACTAAAATTTATTTGCATGCATTGTGATTGGTGCATTAGTGGTCAAATGAGGGAAGAAGAAGGTGGATTGCATGTGATTTGAATGAGTCAAAGAATGACTAAATAAAATATGAAGTAAATATAGTGCATGAAATAAAGAAGTCTAGGGAAAAGAATGGCAATGCAAGGTGGCGAGGTGGAAGCCTTTTTGTTTTGTAATTTATCCTTTCTTCCATTAAGTCTTGGGAATCCACCCAAGAAAGGAAAAAAAATCAAGAGAAAAGAAAAGAACA